AAAAAAAAAAAAAAAAAAAAAACCCTGAATCCCTGAAAGTCGCGAGTGTGTGTACGTGCATACGTCTCTCTGTTTACGTGGGTGCACACGTGTGATTTAACTTGTGAGAATGGAAAGAGTGACCGTCTCTCTCCGCTCGGACGTGAGATAACGCATCAGGTTCGACGCTACACCCATGCAATTGGATTAAGTACGGTCTTCGCACGAAAAAATAGAGATTAGGCACACCGATTGTGGCGAGAATGAAACAGACCGAAAAAAAAATGCTTATTGACGAAGAAGCTTTTTTTACTCGACAGAAATCATCATGCTAGACGAAGCAGCTACTGCATGAGATTAGGCATACGAGCAGACAGGAAAAAAAAAAAAAAAAAAAAAAAAAAAAAAAAAAAAAAAAAAAAAAGACGAGAAAGAGCTAAACACGAAAGAAGCGGACGAGCTGTCCCCGGAAATGCTCAGCAGGAAAGAATGAAGACGACTATTATAAAGACAGGCGGGAAACTGTAGAACACACAGTGCGAGAAAAGCAAAAAAAAAAAAAAATCAAACACAACGGACGACAGAAAGAGAAGAGGAATGCACGAGAGCGGGGGAGAAAAAAACACAACTGAGTGAAAAAAAAAAAGAAACACTCGAGAGATATCGCTTCCACGAGAAAAGTAGACAAGCTTCCGACCACAATGTACTGATTGATGGCAGAGTACAACAGATATTAAAGAGAAAAAAAAATGAAACATTTCACAAGGCAGTAAGTTCTTCGGAGCAAACGATAACATTGGAACGATACACAGAGAGAGAGAAGATTAGCATGGCCCCCTGTGGTGCAAGGATGACACCGCATTGGCGGAGGAATGGTCCTATTTTTTAAGAAGAACAAACAGAATACTGAAAAAAAAAAGATTGGAACGATACACACAGAGAGAGAGAGAAGATTAGCATGGGCCCCTGTGGTGCAAGGATGACACCGCATTGACGGAGAAATGGTCCTATTTTTTAAGAAGAACAAA